GCACTCCCCCTTTTGTCCTGAAAATTTATTGAATGACCATTGAAACTCTCGTGAAAAAGAAGTGTGCAAAAAACCACGACATGCCATTTTTGATTGTACAGTCTTAGTATCTAGCTAGATTGAGTAAACAGTGTACAGTTTGGATATGACGTGGTTCATGTTTACAACTGGGTATAAAACCAAGACTAAACAGAACAGACTAAGCAAAGGGGAAACGACTTGTTCGTTGTGGAACTTCACTTCGCATCTCGCTCTGAGCCTTCACGTCATGCAGTCAGATGCAGAGAGCGTAATAATGGACACCTCAACCCCGAGTCGAAACGTAAAAAACATAGATAAAATCTGACATTTGTAACAATGCCCGGATCTTCATTACTGTAGCTGGAGTTGTTAAAGATTAGGTCACGTGATAGCATGTACTGCAAGTACGCATGCCAGAACTGATTATTTTAGAACGTGCCACAAAGAATCAAAAATGGCATGTCGTGGGTGAGCAGAATGTCATTTGACGTCATTTGAACGAGAGGCCATCATCTAGTGGTGTAATGGCGGTCTATACATACGGAGACGGCTTTATGAAAAACTAGTCGACATAAAAATGAACAGTATTTAAGCTGCATGACGGCGTGTCATGATGGACACCCAGAGTTACCTAAACAAACAAGGTTGAACAGGTGCGGATACAGCTTTTTGAGAAAGGAGGGGTGCACACTATTGAGAAGTGGGTGGGTGCACACTTCTTTTTCACGAGAGTTTCAATGGTCATTCAATAAACTTTCAGGAGAAAAGGGGGAGTGCGCACCCCTGCATCCCCCGTCTGGATCCGCCTATGTTGAATGAGGTATTGTACGGCGTCCTCGTCCAGAACGTCAAAAAAGAGTTCAAGTCACATCGGCAATATTTCAGCCCAATTGTCAACGCAAACAAGTATAATATGAAACGAATTTCATGGGAAGAGACTAAGAAAACTGAAAATCGTGGAACAGAAATTAATTCCAAACAGGTTCAACGGTATCATTTTCCAAGCCTGCACCAGGGTTGTATGCTAAGACCGTTTTTCTTTATATACATGTACTGTTTTCATGATCCTATATAAGGTTATGGACAAACGATTCTTTCATATTATCAAGATTAATATGTGTCAACATGCTAAATGTAATGTTGAGGAATCGCGTGGCCATAGACCTTTTTAAGTGGTATATATAGATACCAACAAAAGTTTTGAGGAGATCTATCATACACGACCCGTAAAGATCTGGGTTAGATTTGATCTTCAGTAACCCATGCTTGTCGTAAGAGGCGACTAACAAGATCGGGTGGTCAGACTTGCTGACTTGGTTGACACATGTCATCGTATCCAATTGCGTTGATTGATGCTCATGCTGTTGATCACTGGGTTGTCTGGTCCAGATTATTTACAGACCGCCGCCATATCTCTGGAATATTGCTGAATGCGCCGTAAAACTAAACTCACTCACGCTATCATACACAAATCCGTCTCTGTTAATGCTCATTAAAATAGAGTTCAAAGTACATATCCTTCACGGTTTATCAGCATTGGATTTTAATATGCATCGGCAGTGAAACATGTTTAACAGTTACATCAATCGGACATGAGAATACACCGTAATTAAATTGCTGATGCACTTTGCGGGTCTTGTGTGCCAGCAGGAAGCTTGGAATCCTCATTTCAGTTCTTGTATAAAGTATGCCAAGGGTTTCAGCAATCAAATGTCAGCCCAATTCAAATATTTTACTCCTAACACAACAATTAACTTGTCTGCATAGGAAACGTAGAGTTCTAAAACCGACCAAACAAGGGACATTAACAGTTCTGGCTGCCCCTCCCATCGCACTCTTCTCCAAAGTTCTTCTCCACTTGTGTGACGTCAAACAAATCTCATATTTGGGGGCAACAAACCGCAAACAAAATTCCTGGAATATGAAATGGCTTCAGTTTGCTTCTCGTCTTGCTACAAAGGATAATGTATTTCGCCGTCGTTTATTCTTTTCGACGTTTTCAATATTGTATTTCCTTTCCCGGGTTTACTTTTTGCGCTCTCGCTATGGAAAAACTTCCAGCTACTCTTTTGTTGTCGAGACTGTCACTGCCTGTTGAATTATACCTGAGGATTTGTCTAGTCTGTTTTAAGGCTTGTGACGTATTACATGTTGTGATTAACTTTGGCTGCGGTTTTTGGCGTGCTGACGTCTCCTCGTTCAGAAGCATGTCACATAATCCCATTAGTCTCGTCAGAGCAAACGAATTTGAGTGCAATTTCACCATGAAAATTTACAACTTTAAAAATCACACATCCGCCGGAGACTGATTTGAGAAATTATGAATCTTTTACTCCAGCTAGAATTTGTTGGCAGTTGGAGATTTGCATCCTTGCCAAGTTTCGCCTGTCGTGAGAGAGTCGGGGACTGGACAAACTTTGAGAATGTCAATGACCCGATTGAAAATGACACGAACCAAATGATTGAAATAAACATAAAAATATTTGCTTTCAGTGCAAATACGAAGAAATAATCCGACAAAAATAAACGTGACGTCTTCAAGTCCAAATTTGTCATCATGTATTCTCTTTGAATGAACACGGCGTTTATGAATACAAAATTCTAAAACTGTTCATAAAAGTTTGATCTAAAGGACCGAATGATGTACACTTGGACTGAATATTTCAGACAGAATTGCCACAGTTGTATCAAATACATAAAACGTCGGAAAATCTGCCGACAGAGATTACATTGTGCGTTAAAGGCAAAATAGCAGTGAGTTAGTGAGTGAGTTTTGCCTCAGCAGTTTTGCAGTTACTCGCGGGGAGCAATTAGCAGTGAACATTACATGAATGGATCGCTGAAAACATCGTTGGTACCAGATGTCTACGAAAATGGTAAGCAGGTCCTGCCCTAACGGTGATTAGGGGCGGTGGGGTAGCCTAGTGGTTAAGGCGTTCGCTCGTCACGGCAAAGACCCGGGTTCGATTCCCACATGGGCACAATGTTTGAAGCCCATTTGTGGGGTCCCAGCCGTGATATTGCTGTAATATTGCTAAAGGCGGCGAAAAACTAAACTCACTCACTCACTAACGGTTTGTTGAGTTTTTCTTGTTTTAATTAATTTCCTTAATATTTAACACTACCTTCCTGTCATATAATATCATTCATTCAAATTTATCTGTTTCATCGTACAGCTAACTATTTATAATTTAATCCATGAATTAACTTATTTGCCAAATATTACCGCATGCAACCCTATCCTCCAAATTGCAGGAAAGCATCAAGAAGGAAAACGCCGTATTTGCAACAATGTAAGCCACATGTTTAGCATGTAAACCAGGTTAATGTAACAGTATATCTTCCCCCACCACAAGGGCCAGTGTTCTTATCTCATTAAGAGAATAGACACATTCTCATACTCCTGCACCCTCTCTCAGACGTAGCGCCCGAGTTTTTTCTGTTCCGATGCACTCTGGATCCAACTGCGGCACAACCCATTATCCGAGTAAGAATCGTGAATACAGACACGACCGCGGTTCATACTAGAGCATTGGTCGGGTTAGGAAAACATAACAGACAACATCGCAGAGCTTGGTTTACAAATAAACAGGAACAGTGATCTGAGCCATGTTACAAAGTTGAAAGGAAAATTTTCTGGATTTTGTGTGGAAGATTCACTGAGAGACAATATACATTGAAGGCATGTCGCTTTGATGTCCATTCGGCACCGTTGTTTGATTACTACATTCTGACCAAAACCTAAAGAAAAAAATGCGTCTTCTCCATTCTGAAGGGACATTGATGCAGTGCTTGTTTATTTGTTGTTTATCCTGCACTCAGTAATATTAAGTGTTGCATTGTAGCACGAAATGTAGAGTGAATATGATTTCAAGCTTATGGATGAGCACGACCACCTGACTGACTGACAGAGTTTGGTTTTACGCCGCTTTTAGCAATATTCCAGCTACATCACGGCGGGGGGAACACCAAAAATGGGCTTCACACATTGTACCCATGTGGGGATTCGAGCCCGGGTCTTCGGCGTGACGAGCCAACGCTTTAACCACTAGGATACCCCACCGCCCCCAACGACCACCAGATCTTTCAAATCGCCTCCTTGGATAAGGTAGTCATCCATTTATAACCTTAACCGTTTGGGAACATCAATGAATTGTCGCATAAGTGTCCGGTGTGTTGGTTGTTGTACACAACGATACTATATTCCAGCAACATGCTGGGACCACAGAAATGGGCTTCACACGTTGTACCCATGTTGGGAGTCGAACCCGGGGGCCTTCGGCGTGACGAACAGGAGCACGAAAGAACTATGCCGCTTTCGATTATATTTGTACCACAGTGTCTCGCTCAGTCCATATACGAGTATTTAAAACGGGTTTCAGAGGTCAGTTACTGGGGTCACTACCCTTAACCTCTGCTGTCTAGGTACCGGTACTGTATCGAGTGAGTGAGTCTGGTTTTACGCCGCTTTTAGCAATATTCCAGCAATGTCACAGCGGGGGGACAAAATGGGCTTCACAAATTGTGCCCATGTGGGGAATCGAATGCTCCATACTCGTGTTTCATATCGTGTACGTATACTAAACCTCAAAACTAACGTCCCCTCGAAAGTGACTAAAGCGAACGTGGCCGGGACAGCATCGCGACCAGGTCGGGTTCAGATCGCGAACCTTCACGATAGATATCTAATAAGATCGCGATACGAAGGTCAACTGGTCGCCATCGGACCGCGATCACGTGATTTTGTGGCGACGTTTTTTCGTATGTTTGAGTGTTTTATACGTGTCACCCTTTTCTACATTTGTTAATACGGCAGCGCCCAATAAGTAATTTGCATTCTTAACTGTCGCCACTGCCCAAAAGTTGAGGTCCATATCGATCAACAACTGTCATGACAAACTTTGATTGCACACAAGTCTTTACTTGTTAATCAGGTCCAGTCACGTGTTAGCAATATCCGACGATATCAAACTACTTACCAACATCGACGACGGGGAGCGTGGCGAGGTCCTTCAGCAAGTCGTCAATGTAGTGGTCTTCCTGGCTGTACAGACCGTATTGGTGTATCCCCATGTGGAACCGTTCCCAGTTCGTCACTCTGGAGAGGAGATAAAACGTATATACTAACAGGTTGCAAGAGTGAGCGAGCTAGTGAGTGAGTGAATGAGTGAGTGAGTGAGTGAGTTGATATTCAGTGGCTTTAAACTTTTTATAACCTTTATACTTTACATGATGTATGTAGATTGAAATCCCAAAGTTATGCACGTAAGAGCATATGGTGTAGTTTATGATGCCAGGTATTCGTTCCATTGTATGCTCACAAACACTTGCAAAGGCAAGTCAATTCTTAACTTGAAGATTCTGCGCCACCGGTAGTAGCCGTCAAAACACACATAAAAACTCCGGATTATTTCAAATGAATTTATAGACTTTGCCACTAAATTCAGTGATAATGGAAGTCCACGAGTCTGTCATTGCGCAAACAACTACTTGAAAGAATAAATCAAAATCCGACACGCGATGTAATACCACGAATCTGACGCCAGAGGAATTGATACATGAAATACAATGCATCGAATCTAAACTCGAGGAATTGATTCATGAAATACAATGCATCGAATCTCAACTCGAGGAATTGATAAATGAAATACAATGCATCGAATCTCAACTCGAGGAACTGATTCATGAAATACAATGCATCGAATCTCAACTTGAGAAATTGATAAATGAAATAGTTTGCATTGCATGTCAATTCGAATAATTGATAAATGAATTATACTGCATCGAATCTCAATTCGAGTAATTGATTAATGAATTATACTGCATCGAATCTCAACTCGAGGAACTGACAAATGAAATATACTGCACCTTATCATAACTCGAGTAATCAATACGTGACAATGCAACGAATCTGCCAGGAAGAAGTGCAACTCTGCCCGCATCTTTGCAGAAGGTGTTTCCCATTGCACCAGAACTACCTCATCACACGGTTATGTCAGGCAACGTGTCAAGATGACGCGCAACTCACGTTACAATAGTGTTTTGTAATACCACGAATCAGCATGTCAGAATGTACCTTAATAGTGTTTACTCTTCACCCTTACAGGAGACAACACAAATAAACACTATCGTAATGCACCCCTTAGATGCAATGGTGAAAGCTTCCTCTGGCTAATAGGGTTGCTAAACAACACAATAGTCTTCGCCATTTCGCCATGTGACATATGTACCCTTTCCACATTACTGTCACTAACGGCAAACACAACATCGATTCCCCTGTCTTAAACAAGATAATTTTCCGACTGTATGCCAAACGAAGACGTTTCTTAAGCTTACAAAGACACATCAGCGAAATTAGGGTACTTAAAGCCCCGAGATAGAACTTGTGAAGTATTAAACGGTTTTTAAGTCAAGTCTCGATAAATACATTGCCAATATCTTGCTCCAAATGGCGACAAAATTAGCCAGACTGGCAAGCTCGAGTTGTTGCATGGTATCAGCGCATGGACTAGAATTAAGGTAATACGCCAAGATAAAGCACATTGGAAGATAATTACACCGGGGCCTCCACCTGTTGATTGCATCATTATATACAAAAAAGGAGCCTCGCAGATAGATTCTCATCTTTATTTCATCATATCTGCTCGCCATGCTCGGATAGCCGACTGAACGACGGCCAACCAGACTGTAGGCTGCACAGGTCGCCGTGACATGCCGTGAGAAGACATGAGGGCAGCACCACCCAAAGTGGAAGTCTTATCGAAGAAGTCATTAGCAGCACTTTCAATGATATTACATAACTGTTAGATTTTGCAAAAGTGTAGTCTGTCTCACAGTCCCTGAACCGCCTTATTTTCCCTTTCCACACAGCCCTTTCTGCAATGCTAAAACTCTAAATGAAGCAAGTCTAGATTTCTAGCTTCTGAATCTCCGATCTCACTGGGTCTCCTTTTCAGTTTAAAAGGAACTATGTTTCTGTCAAAATTATATATTCAGAGACTAAGCTTTAGTCTTGGGCTGGGTGTGGAGGTGTGCGATGTGGGGATTTTGGTGAGGGTGTGATGTCAAGGATGACGTTGAAGAGGGTGTGTGATGCTGGGGAGGGAGGGCATTGACGTATGTGGTGTTGAAGATGACGTAAAGCGTTGTTTTGTGATGTGACTCAGGAGAAAAGGGTGCGGTCAGTAGATATCGTGAACTGGTTAAATCCCAATCAGCTAAAAACAGTGATATACTTCCTAGCGTTAAATGTAACTACATTGTGCTTGTCAACGTTTAAGAACCATAATATTAAGACAGATATAACCCAGGGAGAAGTTAACACACCACTAAGGAGATGAACCCATGCTTCACCACTTGTCACCTACACTGCTCGAAATAGTACACGAACTCACGATTATTTCATTTAACTACAGTGTTTCTGTCACGGATTCTCTCATTTATTTTGAGTAGTATACGTATATACTTAACTATTCATGTCAACGTGTATCAACTGAATGATATTATTAGGAAAGTTTATCACATATTACTATTAAAAAAAGACATACCACATAAGTTATAATTGCAATTCATACCCAAAATATAATTGCTGACAGCTGGTAAGTAATGCGCCGTGATAGACATCTTATATTTTTTTCAACCTTCAATTAATGTTAATTTTACCACCACGCCCATTTCACACAATAACGACCTACAAACACACAATACAGTTTGATTTGAGACCCCGTGTTAGGATACGCCCTTACTGAATACATACATGTTCCCGTCTAAATACCCTGCTAGTCCAGGAGACAGACAGTCGTCTACCCCACTGCTACCCAAAACAAACACAATCTCATTGTATATTACCACAATGCAAACACACAGAGAACGTGCCCTTTAGAATAGGCGCTCTACTCTCTTACAAATACACGGAGGGGCCTGCATTAAAAATAATATCAGATATGAACGGGCAAAGATAAGCATCGTTTCACTCAAGACATTATAAGAAATGTTCCCAGGTTGTTTGCTATTTTGGGGAGCGTTGTGGTCTTAAGAAGAATAAAACATGCTTAAAGCATGAAAAAATACGGACAAAGCATATCACCTTGAGATACTCCATGCTGACTCATTTCTGCATGGGTCGTTTCTCTCACGAGTATGTGTGTACTGACATGCTATAGTACGCCGACATGGAAGGCTGGATTTAGACGACCAAAAATACCAATAAATATATAAAAACAACAACTATGATTCACTAAGGGCTACATATAACTCGAACACCAGAAACACAAATATTTACAACTGTATATTCGAATAGGATACAAAAACAATATGGAATAACGATGAAAATGAGAGGGAAGTATCAAAACATATCTTGACCTGGGTGTCGTTGTACAAAGCAATCTTAGGGCTGTGGTTAGGTTATTTTGTATAACGGCAACCTGGCCGTGTTTATTCCAAGGTATTTATCCCACTTAATACACACCCTACCTCGTTAAGAGAACACGGCGCGTAAAAACATGCCCCATGAACACGTATACAGAAACCCACGGGGCCGAATATATATTGATCCACCTCACAAGAGTTCTATTTGAATTACCAAACGGCTTGCGGATCGTAAACATGTTTTGTAAACCATGGCCTGGTAGGGTGTATATTGTACATGTATGTCTGTAGAAAGTGTTGTATAAAGCATAAGCTTGCGATGACCTAGCCGGGCCTATGTAGGAAGACACAAAGCGAATCCTGGTTCGCCCGATTATGTTTCTTCAACTCCCTTCTTATTTTTTAAACGGTTTTAAACATGCATTGCTTTACGTGGCATTTATATAAGACCTACAGTCTCTAGCTGCACGTTACTTCAGCATATACACCTGAGCAACCCCGGAGAGCCCCAGTCTCTAGTTGCACGTTACTTCAGCATATACACCTGAGCAACCCCGGAGAGCCCCAGTCTCTAGTTGCACGTTACTTCAGCATATACACCTGAGCAACCCCGAGAGCCCCAGTCTCTAGTTGCACGTTACTTCAGCATATACACCTGAGCAACCCTGAGAGCCCCAGTCTCTAGTTGCACGTTACTTCAGCATATACACCAGAGCAACGCTGAAGAGTCCCATTCTGAAGATGTACGTTATTTTAACGTATTTTAACGTACATCAGAGCACCGCTGGAGAACCTCATTCTCTAGTTGCACGTCATATAGCCGGAATACTGTTGAAAGCGGCATTAAACCAAACCCCCTCACTCATTCACTGTTTCAGAAGGCAATAGGAGAGATGCGACTGTTGTAAGTCTTGGTTTAAGCGGGAGGTCGCCATTGGAAGGCACGTCGGTACCTAGCAGTATTTACCTTGGAATGATACCTTAAACTATTATCTTGCAGTATTTACCTTGGAATGGTACCTTAAACTATTATCTTGCAGTATTTACCTTGGAATGGTACCTTAAACTATTATCTTGCAGTATTTACCTTGGAATGGTACCTTAAACTATTATCTTGCAGTATTTACCTTGGAATGGTACTTTACACTATTTGTCTTGCAGTATTTACCTTGGAATGGTACCTTAAACTATTTGTCTTGCAGTATTTACCTTGCTACCTTGATTGTTTAAACACTATGTTCTACCACCTATTTTCCTTTGGACATGGAATCAAATTCTTTGATGTGTATAATTAATTCGTCTCTTTGTGTCCAAAGAAATGAAAGGGAACAGTGCCACACTTGGTTGATTCAGCGATAAAAAGTTAAACGATCAATAAACCTCCGCGAGCCTAAATTGGTGCTCACAGTATTCGTCGTATTCCTTTAATCAATACATAACAGTCACCTGGAACCCGCCAGACTAATTAACGAAATATCATTTCAAGGATAGTAATCAATGAATATAATAATCCAAAGGAAAACGAGTTAAGATTTAATCTGAAAATCCATACACCACTCATTAGCACTTCATATCGAGAATGTTGTGTTCTGTCCTCTGCGATTTTAGTCCACGAAGTCCTGTAACGAAGGAAGCACATAACAATACCTGATACCACTGTTTAAAACACAATGTTTGCCTCATTAAATCTTACAAAAAAAGTATCGAACGCAGCTTCAACTGAACATATGG